AATGGTTCTCTGAAGTACAGAAATGAGATTGCATGATACGTTGTGATCCCAAAGCTCTCCAAGTCTGCCCTAATTAAACGTTGTAAGCTCGCAGCTTGTCGTAAAGAGCAACACACTGTATTTTTCCACATTAATCAGCGCAAATGACTCCATCATGTTTTGAGCGAGCGTGCACTTTCTCTTGTGCTTTACAAAAACGCGGGCCCTACTTTTTGTTCCTCCAAATTTCACTTCCTCGCAGTACGGGTTTCTGAGCTGCCGACAGAATTAAAAGAACGTCAGCCAGTTCCCACTTTGTCAAAGTGTCTCGCTCTTCCATTTACTCGACCTCCTCCGATAAGCGAGACCAATTCTGCTGATGTATCCCTGTCTGCAGTCTCAAACTCACAGCCTCGACAACGTGCTTTCAATCAGCCCCGCTGGCTTTGGGCCCCTGCAGTAGATCATCTCTCCACATCACAGGGATTGAGGCGGCAAGATCTGCTAAAGCTTGCCTTCATAAAACATTTATTTTACCTCTTGACGGCAACACGCAAACACTCCTCAGCCTAAATTATTTCCACCTCGCCCTAAAACGTTCTCTTTTTGTACCAGTCACTGCCTCGACTCCTTGCCAAAAACCACACAGATCCAGTTGAGCAAAGTGCCATTTTATGTGTTAGGTTACTGCCCGGCTGATTTAAGCCATCCCCACAGAACTCACATTGGCTGTGTCCTTCAGGCTGCAGGACACTTCCTCTAACCACTGGACACTCCACGCCTCTGCTGAGCATTAATTCATTTACTCCACAGCAATAGCTCAGTCATGCTTGTTTAGCAACCAGCAAGGGAATTTGCTGTGCCCCGCATTCATATTCTGCGTGTTGTTTGCCCTTTAGCACCTTGGGTTTGCTCGCCGAGAAATCCACTTGTCTGTTGTGTTTGGTCATTAACAGCTGCGACCACCTGTGTGGCCATTTTGCTGCAGCATTAGCCCATGTTTGGCTCACATGCACGTGTGTGGCGGGTACATGACCGCACTAATGCTACTACAACATTTGCGTAGCACTGCAGTTGGGAAGACAGAAGGTTATTAACATTAAATAAGACCTTCTCACGGACATTTTCTAAATTTGTCGCCTGGGTATCAGGGGTGCAAGTGAGGAATTCTCGCTCTTGTGTCCTTGCCAACTTTGGAAAAAAAAAAAAAGTCCAGATGGGGAAGACAAAGGACGCTTTTGGTGACATGAAGAATCAGACAGGTTCTTGGCAAAGCTGCAAACACACCAATCTCAATGGAGTGTCCTCTAAACAATAAACTCTCAGTAGCAATAAGCTGGACCCAATGATAACAGCATGTCTGCTCCTCATTCCCTCTGTGAGCAGCAGCTCTGCACTTTGACTGCATGTTTATGGGTTGTGCATTTGCGAACAAATATGTATGCGGTCATGAGTACAATTTGCATGTTGAGTGCATCTGTACTCAGCGTGTGTGTGTGTGTGTGTCTCTGATGACAGCAGGCTGATTAAGCTGTTGCATAGTAATGAGCTATGGCTGTCTGTCTGGCAGCTGCTCTGACAACCTCTTTTCACAACTAGCACTCCCACACACACACACACACACACAGAAAAAGACAGAGAAATAAACGCGGGCATTTCAGTAACACACAGAAGAAACACTCTCATGAAAAGGCATCAAAGCTGACAAGAGCACTGAAGCATTGTTGTTTATGTTGTAGTTTAATCACTGGGAAAGTCACGCTAATGCAGGAGAGGATAATTATGATGCATTAAAGAGGGAGATCATGTAACAATGCACAGCTTCCCTATAGCCACAGCTAAACAGCTACACTTCCTCTCCTTCACTCTTTGTTGTGTTTTCCTCCTGATAATGAGTGTCACTGAGGAATAACAGCCATTTCCTGCTTCAAATCACTGATGTCAGGGGGAAGTAGCAGCCACAGGCACAGAGGGGAGCTGTGTGTGTGTGTGTGCGCGCGCACCTTCGTGCTGTGCATTTGTACGCTTGAGTACCTGTGTGCGAGGTCATGTGAATGCCTATAAGAGGTCTCTTACAAATATCTGCAGGGCAGTGAAATGGATGTGTGTGCTTAAGGAGCAAGCCATCCCTCTTCCCTCAGTTCACTGAGGTCAGTGTCAGCTGGCAGGAACATGGAGACTAATGCACTGCTTAGAGGAGACGTGAAAGGGTGCAATTAGTAAATAAACATACTGACTTTACGGATCTTCCTTTCACAGAAAACACACCAAATTGAATAACACAAAAAAGAGGAAAAAGAGGCCACTTTTTGTTTGTTTATGTTTACTCTGAATTGTGTAGGAAGGGTTCAAAATCCACACAATTGTCAGTTAACATGGCCAGCCCCTCCATTCCCAAAGGACCCTACACCACCCCACCCCTCACACCCCCAGCGGGGCCCCACTAATGTAAAACACACCAAAGGTAATGTATATCCATCCTTACCTTGTTGATGTCCCCTTCCTGACATCACACATCATGCACTTAAAAGCCTCTGCCGTGTTCTTGTACGTGCACACGCTGCAGTCCCAGAACCCCTCGTCGGAGGAGGGCTTCGGTTGACGCTTCGGCCTTTTAAGACAATAAATTTAGAAAAAAAAAAGGAGGAAAAAAAGAGGAGAAAAAAAACGAAAAGAAAAGATGGGAGAGGAAAGGATCGAGAGGAGACAAGAGTGAGTTCGGGCACCACTCATCCGCGAAGGCTATCGATAGCAAACATCAGTGTAAGCCTGTAGGATTTAGGAAATCATCTGCAAAGCGCGCTATGATCCGACACTGTAATTGGCGATGAGGTTTTAACACCCGCGCGCGCGCGCACACACACACAGCCCGCACGCGCACATACACACAAGCAGCGAGTGAGGCAATGAGAGAGAGAGAGGGAGGGAGAAGGGGAGGGGGGCCGTAAAGAAAACCCATTTTTTCCCCCGTGCGCTTGCCGATGTCCGTTCCCCTCCCCTAGCCCTGAATATCCAGCACGCACTAATTCGCTCGTTACCTTGTCGGACTCCTCTTGTCGCCCATGCCAGACCGGGGTTTATCTGGAGGTGCTGAGACGACCAGGAGCCTTGTTATTTCAATTTTTTTTAGCCGAGAAGCGATGCGCTTGTGCCGCTCGGCTTCCAGCTGTCGTGGAAACTCCGCTTGGGAAATGCTCACGTGACGGGCTGTGACCAATCACAGGCTGGGTTACTTCCCGTGGCTTGACATTCCTCTTGATGAATCAATGCCGCCTTCACGTTCCCTGCGTAAGCTCCCCCTTCTGTCGATTTAGTGCTAAATAATGATTCCATTTTGCTTTTCTATGACAGTAATGACTAAAAACCATACAAGTCTCCGCCTAAATCCATTATACAATATTTCACGTGCAGTCTTTCCCTCTAATGAAATGCTCTAACAGATTCATATTTTAGTAATTAAACCACACCTCCAATAAAAATGTTTCAAAAAGCACCCTATGTGCCCTTCATGACGCCATAATTTCCACATGTAGTTGTTTTTCAATTTTGCCCGCTCTAAATTACGACACTTTCCGACAGCACCTAAATGCAACAAATCCAACTAATGTTCTGCGTCTGTAGCAATGCTGGATACCCCTCAAATAAGACTGTGCCGCGAATCCTTTCATATCCCTGCATCTTCGCGCAGACGGCATTAATGCCAAACCAGTTTGCCGCAGACGCATCAAACATGGGGGAAATCCCTCTTTGTATTTGCGTGCTGACGCAAGCAGGCATCAAAAAGATATTTCCACCAAGCGCAGCACCAGCGAGCGGTTCCAACATCTTTTTATATTCAAGGTATTTTATTGCAACGGAAACCCACTCGGAGCATTTTATTTCCTACATTTACATATGCAACGTGTGGGTCACTGCAAGTGGTTTCTGCTTTTCTAAGCTTTAAAAAGAGCACACACACGCACACACACATATATATATATATATTTATATATATACATCATGTATGTATGTATAGATAGATACAGTGTTAGTGTTACAGGTGCAAATAAGGAACTGGAAGTGCTGAATTTTGTGTTGTGCTCACACTCTCTCATACTGGTAACTGGAAGGCTAACATGACCATACAGTTTAACAGCACAGTTTCCACTCAGAACAAACCTCAACATGGTCGACCAAAGAAGTTGAGTGCACATGCTCAGCGTCATATCCAAAGGTAGCCTTTTGAAAACAGATGTACGAGTGCTACCAGCATTGCTGCAGAGGTTGAAGGCGTGGAGGGTCAGCCTGACAGTCCTCATACCATACACACTGCATCAAATGGCTATCGTCCCAGAAGGAATCTTTTTCTAAAGATAAGGCACAAGAAAGCCCGCAAACTGTTTGCTGAAGACTAGAAGATTTGTGGCCTTATGAGACCAAGACAAACTAAATATTATTCATATGGTGTCAAGGATGTGTGGCGGCAACCAGGTGAGGAGTACAAAGACCAGTGTGTCTTGTCTACAGTCAAACATGGTGGTGGAAGGTCATTGTTTGGGGCTGCATGACTGCTGCTGGCACTGGGGAACTACAGTTAATTGAGGTAACCATGAATGCCAACATGTACTGTGATATACTCCAGCAGAGCATGATCCCCTTCCTTCAGAAACTGGGCCACGCGACAGCATTCCAACATGATAACAATCCCAAACACACCTCCAAAAAGACCAGCGCCTTGCTAAATAAACTGAGGGTAAAGGTATTTGACTGGCCTGGCATCTGTGGGGCATCCTCAAATGGAAGGTGGAGGAGCGCAAGGTCTCTAACATCCACCAGCGCCATGATGTCATGAACTCCATGCCCCACAGAGTTAAGGCAGTGTTGGAAGATAATGGTGGCCACTGAAAATATTGACACTTTGGGCACAATTTGGACATTTTCACCTAGGGGTGTACTCACTTTTGTGAGATACTCTGTGTGTATATACGTATATATGTTTTTTTAAAATGTGTGAATAGTGTGCTGAAATAAAATATTCATAATCACCTTTAACATTTAATAGAAAACTGGCAGCATATAAAAAGATCAGATTTTATCTACAACCAGCCAAAGCAGTACCCAAACTGTTTGGCTTTTTTTTTTTTTGAAATCTGATTTTGCACTTAAAACATTGGATTTTTTGTGTGTCAATTCTAACTTTATCAGCATATGATAAAGTTTGAAACATATTTTACACCTGCACAAAAAAAAGACAGCTCAAAAAATGTCCATATTTATCCAAATAAAACATTCAAGTCTATACATCCATTAGTCACTGAGCTCCTCCTCATCACTGAAGTACGCGCTCTTTTTGATCCGTGGCTTCTTGGAGTCTGACGACGTTGAAGCGTGAGCATTATCCTCTGCCAGCCTCTTCTGTTTTTTCTGTTCTTCCTCAATACAGGCTTGCTGGAGGGCAACAAATAGACAACAAATATGTCAGTGCTGACAGTTTTTCATTTATTTTGAGTCAGACTTTCCATAATGTAACTTTGCAACTCATAATGCAATCCTCTGAATCAAAACCTCTAGATATTTTTAGGAAGATATTTCTTGTCTCTGCACCCTTACCTGAAAAGCTATGGCTTGGCTTAGGCTATCTAAAGCTGGGTCTTCTCCCTCTTCCTCACTTTCTTCTTCTTCTTCTTCTTCGCTAAAAGTAAAAAAAATAAAAAAATAAATAAAAATGTAGATGTACTGTGATATATTCTGTTGCACAAATATATATGTCACAAATTACATACGTTTGCTCGGGCTGTTGAGCCTTTTTCTTCTTTTTCTTTTCTTTCTTCTTCGGAGGTTCCCTCTCTCCCAGCATGTTTTTGGGACATGCGTAGCTCAAATGTCCGGAATCCTGACATGTGCCATTGTGAAAATACAGGAAAACTATCACAATTGCATTTCTAACTTTAGTTAAAAATGTAGTTAGCCACACAGGACCCCCCCAAAAAAGTAGATATTTACTGACCCCACATTCGTAGCATCTACTTTTGTCTGTGTAGTTCCGTCTCCTTATAAATTCTGCTGCTCGTCCATTATCTATGGCAATGCTGGCTTTAACCGTTCTGCCAAATAACTGGGAGGCAAAAATATTTCACTCGCTCGCATCCATTACAGAAACATCGCTGGCAGAAAGCCTCTGGGTTACGCTTAGTGAAAAATCAGTATATAACCTTGCACAGGCTCACCTGTTTGTTGTTCACTGCTCTTGCACAGTTATGAGCCGACTCTCTATCCAGGAAGAGAACAAACGCCACTCCTTTACTCTGCCGAGTGTTTTTATCCTTAACCACCGTGACCCTGAGAGAAACCATCATAGTTATTAATACCTGTGAGGAAACGACTGAAGCAGTAACTGTTACATCGCTTCAAAGCTACCAAATTATTGCATTCTGTTGCATCATTCATTGCTTTAAATGTATAAAATAACATAAAAAAAAATACTTACTTTACAACTTTGCCATATTTGCTGAATAGCTGAAATGACACACGGTGATTTATTTTAGTGAGAGGTTTTTGGATTCAGAGACCGCTGGGGAATTTCACTCTTTTCATGCATAATAAACATACAGCAAGGTCCAAATATACTTAGAAACTGACAGAGCTGTCACTTTAGCTCACTTTACAGTTATATAATGACTGTAGCCTTAAGGTGCAGACAGCCAGCTGTAATATCAGGGTGCTCACATAGAAAAACTGGTGTGCTAGGTAACATAAAAACATCTGGATGATAATCATATGACCATTTCTATGATAAAGTAATACCTGTTTAACACATCTACACATCAGACATAGCATTATGTTTGCCTCCCTAATATTGCCTGGTCCTCCTTTTTTGCCAAAACAGCCATGGTGACCTATCAAGCCATGGACTCCACTAGATCCCTGAAGCTGTGCTGTGGTATCTAACACCAAGATGTTAGCAACAGAACCTTTAAGTCCTGTAAGTTGCGAGGTGGATCAGGTGGATCAATCCATGGATCAGATTTGTTTGTCCAGCAGATCCCACTTGACACTTGATTACATTGAGATCTGGGGAATTTGGAGGCCAACTCCACAAAGCATTCCACAACCATTTTTGCTTTCTGGCAGAGTGCATTATCCTGCTGAAAGAGGCCACAGCTATGAAGGAATACAATTTCCACGAAAGGGTGCACATGATCTGCAACAATGCTTAGGTAGGTGTCAAAGGAACATCCACATGGATGGTAAGACCCAAGAGGTCCCAGCAGAAATCTCTGTCAGCTTGGCTTCTTTTCATAGTGCATCCTGATGCCAGGTGTTTCCATGGTAACAAACACAGACCAGACCATCTTCTTCCATTGCTCCATGGTCCAGTTCTGATGCTCACGTCGCCATTGTTGGCGCTTTCTGCGATAAACAGGTCAGCCTGGACACCCTGACTGGTCTGGGGCTGTGCAGCCCCATAGGCAACAAAGTGTGATGCTCTGTGTATTCTGACACAATTCTATCAGAACCAGCATGAACTGTTTTGGCAGTTTGAGCTACAGCAGCTCATCTGTTAGATCAGACCACACAGATCAGGCTTCACTCTGCACGTCCATCAGTGAGCCTTGGCCACCCATGACCCCGTCACTGGTTCACCACTGTTCCTTTCTTGAACTACTTTTGATAGATTATCCAAGTCTAGGATTCACTAGAGAATCTAATGAAGATGTTCCCAAACTAAAGCTCGGAATTCACAGCACGCTGTAAAACATGGGTGAGGCAGTATGCATGGCTTCCAGTAGCAATGGGTGACAGAAGATAGAAGGAGCTGGATGAATTCTGAAGAGTACAGAGATAAACTTGACAAAGTGACATCCTCAAGCCCATGCCGAATTTGAGGATGGCACTTTGCACTAAATCTGAAATGTAACCCAAAATATAATGTGCATGCAATCCAGGAATTTTTGAAGGCCGAATGATCTGCCTGAGCCAATCAGTTAATCTCACCTGAGCATGTACTTTGCTGGCAACAAACCCAAATAGAAAGACCCTCAAACATATGACCGAAGAGAGAGGTGGGGTGTGCCACGAAGGAAGTTAAACTGAAAGCCAAGCTTTCTTTGCTTAAGCCTCTTGACAAAACCTAAAATCCCAGTCAGAGATCACAGGTGTCACAACAGTGGTTATTAACTTTCCCTGTTAACTCAGGCTTTCTGCTTCAGGCTTTTTATGTGCCTACATAAAAGGAGAATTGACATATCATGTGGCTCATCTTCAGTTAATTCCAAATGCTTCATTTATAGACATTATCTGAGGAACAAGTGAGAAACTTCTATAAAGAAATTTAAAGAATAAAACTAGAAAAAGGCATCAGCTGTGTGCAAATAAGTCGAGAGAAAATGCTACAGAAGATCATTTATCTTAATCTCATAGATTAATATATTGGTTCTACCACCATATGCACTCTCAGAGCTGCTGTTTATTTCTAATGTAAAAGCTGCACGTTCGAGCTCTGAAACTTTAAACTCGATCAACTGACACTGTCCTACAGCCTAATGATGGGGATGTGGAAGTCACTTTTCTTTGTGGCCAGATCAAAGTGAAATATTCTTGGTAATTAAAAATATCAGATCATTAATGTATAAAACAAATTCCTTAGACTCTATATCATACTTGTAGAAAACTAAAAAAAATCGAAAGTATTAATAACAATATACCACATACAGCCCATTTTAAAACTAAAGTCAGAAAATAACATACTCTAGACCACGTTCACACACGACCATGTGTTTAATTTAGTTCCCATGGTGATCTAAGCAGGCAAAAAGAAAATGCATGGCAAAGCATCACAAAATAGGAAACCCAATTTTTGGTGATGTCCATGACTTTAAATGTCAGGCAGTCATTGCTTGAAAACTATTTCGTATATTAATAAAGTGAAGCGTTTATGTATCTTCTTGTTCTCGTGACTACTCCCTTTATGAGGTCGCCACGGTGGATTATTTGGTTCCATCTCACCCTATCACTAGCATCCTGCTCTGTATAATGTTTTTCACAATTTTGATGAATCTTCTCTGGTTGACCTCGGGTATTTAAATCATTCACATTTACTACCTCTATCCTGCACCTTCACTGCTAGACCTGTCTCCCTTCACACGTATTCTATCTTGCTTTTACTGACAGACTTTCATTCCTGTTCCATCCAGGTTTTCTTCCATCTGCTCCCTACTCTCACTACAGATCACAATGTCCTCTGCAAACATCATAACCCACGGAGACTCCTGCCTGACCTCATCTGTCTGGCGAGCCCTAATGTAATCCCTACCACATACCTCACCGCTGTCTCTCTGTCCTTATGCATGTCCTGCAACCAGTGTTGGGGAGTAACGGAATACATGTACCGCCGTTACGTATTTAAAATACAAAATATGAGTAACTGTATTC